AGTGCATTTTTGGACATAGTTTTCAAACCGGGAGTCCCGTGCTAGTTCCGTAAGTTTCCACAGCTCACATTGGTCCATCCCGATGTGTTTGAGGTGTTTCCAGAGCCGTCTCGTAGCTGTTGCATGATTTTCGACCCCGAAGGCCTATTTTCTGGCCTAACTGTGGAAAAGTGCATTTTGGGTCTTAGTTTTCAAACCGGGAGTCCCATTGTAGTTCTGTAAGTTTTCACAACTCACATTGGTCCATCCCGAGGTGTTTGAGGTGTTTCCCGGGCCATCTCGTCGCTGTTGCATGATTTTAGCCCCCGAAAGCCTATTTTTGAAGCTAAAGTGTGGAAAAGTGCATTTTTTGACTTAGTTTTCAAACCGGGAGTCCCGTGCAAGTTCCGTAAGTTTCCACAACTCAAATTGATCCGTCTCGAGGTGTTTGAGGTGTTTCCCAGGCTGTCTCATGGCTGTTGCACGATTTTGGCCCCCGAAGGCCTATTTTCAAGCTTATGTGTAGAAAAATGCATTTTTGGACTTAGTTTTCAAACCAGAAGTCTCGTGCTAGTTTCGTAAGTTTCCATAACTCACATTGGTCCCTCCCGAGCTGTTTGAGGTGTTCCCTGGGACGACTCGTGGCTGTTGCACAATTTGGTCTCCGGTGGCTTATTTTTAGGCTTAAGTGTGAAAAAGTGCATTTTCAGACTTCGTTTTCAAACCGAAAGTCCCCTGCAAGTTCGGTAAGGTTCCACAACTCACATTGGTCCCTTCCGAGGTGTTTGAGGTGTTCCCCAGGCCGTCTCGTCGCTGTTGCACGATTTTGGCCCCCCGAAAGCCTATTTTTGAAGCTTAAGTGTGAAAAAGTGCATTTTTGGACTTAGTTTTCAAACCGGGAGTCCCGTGCTGGTTCCGTAAGTTTCCACAACTCACATTGGTCCATCCCGAGGTGTTTGAGGTATTTCCCGAGCCGTCTCATAGCTGTTGCATGATTTTCGCCCCCGAAGGCCTATTTTCTGGCCTAACTGTGGAAAAGTGCATTTTGGGTCTTAGTTTTCAAATCGGGAGTCCCGTTGTAGTTCTGTAAGTTTTCACAACTCACATTGGTCAATCCCGAGGTGTTTGAGGTGTTTCCTGGGCCGTCTCGTGGCTGTTGCACGATTTTCGCCCCCGAAAGCCTATTTTTGAAGCTTAAGTGTGAAAAAGTGCATTTTTGGACTTAGTTTTCAAACCGGGAGTCCCGTGCTAGTTCCGTAAATTTACACAACTCACATTGGTCCATCTCGAGGTGTTTGAGGTGTTCCCCAGGCCGTCTCATGGTTGTTGCACGATTTTGGCCCCGGAAAGCGTATTTTTGAAGCTTAAGTGTGAAAAAGTGCATTTTTGGACTTAGTTTTAAAACCGGGAGTCCCGTGCTAGTTCCGTCAGTTTCCACAACTCACATTGGTCCGTCCCAAGGTGTTTGAGGTGTTTCCCGGGCCGTCTCGTGGCTGTTGCACGATTTTAGCCCCCAAAGCCCTATTTTCAGGCCTAACTGTGGAAAAGTGCATTTTTAGACTTAGTTTTCAAATCAGGAGTCCCGTTGTAGTTCTGTAAGTTTTCACAACTCACATTGGCCCATTCTGAGGTGTTTGAGGTGTTTCCTGGGCCGTCTCATGGCTGTTGCTCGATTTTGGCCCCCGAAAGCCTATTTTTGAAGCTTAAGTGTGAAAAAGTGCATTTTCAGACTTAGTTTTCAAACCGGGAGTCCTGTCCAACTTCCGTAAATTTACAAAACTCACATTGGTCCATCTTGAGGTGTTTGAGGCATTTCCCAGGCTGTCTCGTGGCTGTTGCACGATTTTGGCCCCCGAAGGCCTATTCTAAAGCTTAAGTGTGGAAAAGTGCATTTTTGGACTTAGTTTTTAAACCGAGAGTCCCGTGGTAGTTCCACAAATTTGCACAACTCACATTGGTCCTTCTTGAGGTGTTTTAGGTGTTTCCCAGGTCGTCTCGTGGCTGTTGCACGATTTTGGCCCCCGAAGGCTTATTTTCCAACTTAAGTGTGGAAAAGTGCATTTTTGGACTTAGCTTTCAAACCAGGAGTACCGTGCTAGTTCTGTAAGTTTCCACAACTCATATTGGTCCATCTCGAGCTGGTTGAGGTGTTCCCCGGGCCGTCTCATGGTTGTTGCAGGATTTTGGACCCCGAAAGCCTATTTTTGAAGTTTAAGTGTGAAAAAGTGCATTTTTTGACTTACTTTTCTAACCGAGAGTCCCGTGCTAGTTCCGTAAGTTTCCACAACTCACATTGGTCCATCCCGAGGTGTTTTAGGTGATTCCCGGGCCATCTCATGGCTGTTGCACGATTTTGGCCCCCGAAGCCCTATTTTCAGGCCTAACTGTGGAAAAGTGCGTTTTTGGACTTAGTTTTCAAACCGGGAGTCCCGTTGTAGTTCCGTAAGTTTTTATAACTCACATTGGTCCATCCTGAGGTGTTTGAGTTGTTTCCTGGGCCGTCTCATGGCTGTTGCACAATTTTGGCCCCCGAACGCCTATTTTTGAAGCTTAAGTGTGAAAAAGTGCATTTTCAAACTTAGTTTTCAAACCGGGAGTCGCGTGCTAGTTCTGTAAATTTACACAACTCACATTGGTCCATCTTGAGGTGTTTGAGGCGTTTCCCGGGCCGTCTCGTGGCTGTTGCACGATTTTGGCCCCCGAAGGCCTATTCTCAAGCTTAAGTGTGGAAAACTGCATTTTTGGACTTAGTTTTGAAACCGGGAGTCCCGTGCTAGTTCCATCAACTTACACAACTCACATTGGTCCGTCTTGAGGTGTTTTTGGTGTTTCCCAGGTCGTCTCATGGCTGTTACACGATTTTGGCCCTCGAAGGCCTATTTTCCAACTTAAGTGTGGAAAAGTGCATTTTTGGACTTAGCTTTCAAACCAGGAGTCCCGTGCTAGTTCCGTAAGTTTCCACCACTCACATTGGTCCGTCCCAAAGTATTTGAGGTGTTTCCCGGGCCGTCTCCTCGCTGTTCCCTGATTTTGGCCCCCGAAAGCCTATTTTTGAAGCTTAAGTGTGAAAAAGTGCATTTTTGGACTTAGTTTTCAAACCGGGAGTCCCGTCCTAGTTCCGTAAGTTTCCACAACTCACATTGGTCCGTCTTGAGGTGTTTGAAGTGTTTCTCGGGCCGTCTCGTGGCTGTTCCACGATTTTGGCCCCCGAAGCCCTATTTTCCAGCCTAAGTATGGAAAAGTGCATTTTTGACTTAGTTTTCAAACCGAGAGTCCCGTTGTAGATCCGTAAGTTTCCAAACCACACATTTGTCCGTCCCGAGGTGTTTGACGTGTTTCCCAGGCCGTCTCGTGGCTGTTGTACGATTTTGGCCCCCGAAAGCCTATTTTTGAAGCTTAAGTGTGAAAAAGTGCATTTTTGGACTTAGTTTTCAAACCGGGAATCCCGTGCTAGTTCCGTAAATTTACACAACTCACATTTGTCCATCTCGAGGATTTTGAGGTGTTTCCCAGGCCGTCTCGTGGCTGTTGCACGATTTTGGCCCCCGAAAGCCTATTTTCAAGCCTAAGTGTGGAAAAGTGCATTTTTGGACTTAGTTTTCAAACCGGGAGTCCCGTTGTAGATCCGTAAGTTTCCATAACTCACATTGGTCCGTCCCGAGGTGTTTGAGGTGTTTCCTGGGCCGTCTCGTGACTGTTACACGATTTTGGCCCCCGAAAGCCTATTTTTGACGCTTAAGTGTGAAAAAGTGCATTTTTGGACTTAGTTTTCAAACTGGGAGTCCCGTGCTAGTTCTGTAAGTTTCCACAACTCACATTGGTCCGTCTCGAGGTGTTTGAGGTGTTTCCCAGGCCGTCTCATGGCTGTTGCATGATTTTGGCCCCCGAAAGCCTATATTTGAAGCTCAAGTTTGAAAAAGTCCATTTTCGGACTGAGTTTTCCAACCGGGAGTCCCATGCTAGTTCCGTAAGTTTCCACAACTCACATTGGTCCGTCCCGAGGTGGTTGAGGTGTTTCCCAGGCTGTCTCATGGCTATTGCACAATTTTCGCCCCCGAAGGCCTATTTTCAAGCTTAAGTGTGGGAAAGTGCATTTTTGGACTTTGTTTTCAAACCGGGAGTCCCGTGCTAGTTCTGTAAGTTTCCACAACTCACATTGGTCCGTCCCGAGGTGTTTGAGGTGTTTCTCGGAGCTGTCTCATGGTTGTTGCACGATTTTGGCCCCCGAAAGCCTATTTTCAAGCCTAAGTGTGGAAAAGTGCATTTTTTGACTTAGTTTTCAAACCGGGAGTCCCGTGCTAGTTCCATAAGTTTCCACAACTCACATTGGTCCGTTCCGAGGTGTTTGAGGTGTTTCTCAGGTTGTCTCATGGCTGTTGCACAATTTTACCCCCGAAGGCCTATTTTCAAGCTTATGTGTGGAAAAGTACATTTTTGGACTTAGTTTTCAAACTAGGAGTCCCGTGTTAGTTTCGTAAGTTTCCACAACTCACAGTTGTCCCTCCCGAGGTGTTTTAGGTGTTCCCCGGGCCGTCTCGTGGCTGTTGCACAAATTTGGTCTCTGGTGGCTTATTTTCAAGCTTAAGTGTGAAAATGTGCATTTTTGGACTTTGTTTTCAAACTGGAAGTCCCGTGCTAGTTCGGTAAGTTTCCACAACTCACATTGGTCCCTCCTGTAGTGTTTGAGGTGTTCCCCGGGCCGTCTCGTGGCTGTTGCCCAATTTTTTGACTAGTTTCATGCCTACATGTTGGAATAGTGCAAATTTCAAAGTAGTTTCCTAATTCGGAGCCACATGCATATTTCAGTGTTTGTGATGTTTCTCGGGCTTTTACATGCATATCTTAGTTGAAAAAGAAATTTCTACTAAATTAGCACAGAAACATAATATACTAACCAAGAAGCTTGTCCATCAGAATCTGAACTTTCCCCACTCTTAAAATTTCCCGTGATACCTTTCTGCCTCAAACAATCGATGATACTTTGTATCTTCTTGCTTTGTTTCTTCTCTGACTTTTCAAACCTTGCAATTTGTTCATTTTGTTGTGCTATTTGCAGCTCGAGGCGTTGAACATAGTCACTATTTTCAGCAGGTGCAACAGTTGTATTCACAGAAGACGAAGACCTCATACTGAGTCCTTTCACATAACCTGGCCTTGGCTGAAGCACCTTCACTGACCAATTAGATGGACAAACAAAAGCAATTTCAACAAATGTCAAACATACCTGAACCATAATAGGATTGGGACCAGATGTGGATATATACACAGCAGGACCAGCATTAACAACAGCATCAGCCTGAAGAAAGTTGTAGTACCACGAGTAGTATCACTATCATTATCTAAAATATTTGCTAACATGTCCTCTCCTAAGCCACACACTGGTACAGGTACATGGCCACGCATTATCAATATTAAATGCAAATTTAAGGCCATGTAAAAACATAGAACAAACATAAACATACCGGTGCCTGACCCATTCGCAGTGTCGTGGTTGTGCGGCCAAGCTCAAGCAACAAAGCACCTAAATCTGAAAAAAGACCTGCAGATCTTAAAGTGTTGAATTGAATGCTCATCCTTGTCAAAGGGTCATTCACAGTTGCCTGATCCTCTAGTTGTCTTATAAGTTGCTACAATATGAAAGAGAAAAATTCCAAGGTTTTGTCAATACAACAGATGCAAAATCATTGTGCATGTTTTCAGGTAACAACTTGAAGCTTCTTCCTTAAGAATGGAAAACTAGAAAGAGGAGTAACATGTATTCTCCCACTTTCTAGGAAAAACAGAATTCAAATAAAAAAAACCAAGTTGAAACAAATATATCATTCAATTTTACACTTAGTGGGGCCTGACACATCTGAGACCACATTACATGCGACATTCATAAGGAAACTGAAAAGTAGGCTTATTACTAAGATGAGGTAATATCTTCTAAGACTACATTACAGGCAACACTCATCGAAGTGAGAAACATGAGTGACAAAGCTCCCTTCAACGTTTCTTTCTATAAATTACATGGAGATGTACACAAAACTCCTTTAAACTTTAGAAATTGAAGTTATATTGCATATGTTTTTATTATCTTGGAAAAGAATGGTATCATCTACAAACTGAAGATGACAATGAAACATTATCCATTTCATTACTATTCATTCTTAATAGAGTTAATTAACTAGATGTTTGGGATTGGATTTTTTTAGTGCGCTTGTTTGTTGGCTTTTTTCGTTTTTAGTGAACTTTTTCAAAAAAATTACAAAATTCTACCACACTAGAAAAACCAAAAAAGTAAAAAAAAAAAAAGTACATTAAAGACAATAAAAAATAAAAAATAGTTGGCTTTTTGGCTTTTTTTGTCTTTAGTGATTTTTATTTTATTTTTTTATAAATTTTTTCACCTTTTAGATTCTTCTACACTAGTAGAAAAAAAAAAATTCTCTAAGAACAAAAACATTCAAAAAAAAAATGTGCCTTTTTTATCAAAATACCAAATGACCAAGTGAATACTTTAGTTAATTGTTCTCAAAATTAATATGCAATTATCTCCTAAGTGTATCTCCTAAGCCTTATCAACCATTCTTCCCATTACATCAGCAGCTAAGATAAACTAAAAAAGAGGCAAAGGGTCACCTTGTCCAAGGCCCCTTGTTACTTTAAAACCCTCCCCTGCCTTACCGTTGACAATTACTAATAAATTGGAAGATGAGAAACAACCTTGAATCCATTTCCTCCATCTAACTCCAAACCCTTTCCTTTCCTTAACAAAATCCAAGAATCTCAAATCCACATAATCATAAACTTTCTCAAATCAACCTTAAAAATAACATCTTCCTTGCTTTGTGACCTATAATTCTCCACTACCTCATTTGGTACCAACAACACATCCAAATTTTGATGACCCTCAACAAAGGCACCTAGAGAAATAATTATAGTATTGCCCATATCACAACCCATTCCTACTCCACCATCACCCATTTTTGGCTGCCACCATTGTTGAGGCCAAATCAAACCCAAACCCTCGAATCAAATTGTTGGTGGGAGTCCCGTGCTAGTTCTGTAAGTTTCCACAACTTACATTCGTCTCTCCCGAGGTGTTTGAGGTGTTCCTCTGTCCTTCTCATGACTATTACACTATTTTGGCCCCCGATGGCCTATTTTCAAGCTTAAGTGTGAAAAAAGTGTCTTTTTCGACTTAGTTTTCAAACCGGAAGTCCCGTGCTGCCAATTGATCTGTTTCAAGCATTTAAATTGATACTCACATCACTAATTGAACTCACAAATAAAGCTAAGCAGAGTTTACAAGAAAAACATTTGTTTCATAAGCTAAGAGAGGGGACATGCTAAATAAAAAGATAAGTGCAGTACATACCTGCATGGCTCTTTGTCTTCTCTTGAACTTTATCAATAACCTAGAAAACCGACGAATAACAACGCATTAGGTCAATTCAAACATTTAAAATGGATAACAATAAAATGGAGATAGCTAGAGTTAAGACTAAGAGGAGCACGCCAAAACGATAATAAATTATGACAATCAAGCAAATGCCTTCATGGGAAGCAAATACAACAGTATTGGATAGTACACCAAAATTAAAAGAGATTCTCAGATCTTGTACCAAAAAAATTACATATTCATCCAATAAGTTTCATAATTTTCCATAATATAAAACAATAGAGTATCATTGCAATTTGCATGCATCAGCCAACAGTTACAGTATCAGCTACATTATCCTATCTTGTCTCTATCCAAAACACCTACCACACACCACTGGAGAGGGAATAACAAAGGTCTATCTGGTATTAGCAAGATTAAATGCCAGTACTAATATGCAGCCCCTTTTTCTCTTTAGGTAAAAGAAGAGAACTTCAGTGAACTCCTAGTTGAATCATAGTCATTCGCCAAGTGCCATTCAGCTGAACAATACAGCATACCAACCAGTCCTTGTAACATAACTACCGAAGCCATAACATTTCTCATAACAAAGGAACAATAAGAGAAGACTCAAAAACTGAGAATGGATCAGGAGATGTGCTCAAACTTGGTTTGACAGGTTCAATGAGCTTCAAGGTCAACTTAACTTGTTCCACCTGTAGAAAATGACTACTTATATGGATGGTTATGAAGTGCCTGTGAGTTTTCACACCATTTTAGGACTCTTGTTGGTTAAGGCATTTGCAGGAAACAATGTCATAGGAGAGTACAGGATTGAACCAGATTTTAGCCACTGTCAAAAATATTATCTATGAAAGTTAAAAGTAAGAGTAAAAGTAAAAGTAAAAGTAAAATACAGGTCAATTTTAAAGTGACCTAAAAAAATCATAACTGTCTCTTTTTTTGATGGGGAGGGGCATCATCACTCTAGAGATTTAAAATTAAGTAAGATAGAAAATGCCATTGCAAGAGATGCTAACACAGCTTAACGAGCTTCTCACATGCCAAAATTGCCTTAAGCTTCAACTAGCTGATTTTATTTTGCTGTCCATCAGCCAAACAAGTTACAGAAAGAATACATGCACACGTAACAAAAATAAATTGACGTGTACTTAGCAATAATAACATGAGCTTAGGGATGTGCCAAAAACCCTCCATGCGCTGCCTCTATTGGTATGGGCTTGGGGAGAACCTATTGGGTGGAGAAAGGTTTTTGGCATATTTCCTAAGAAACGTACCTTTGCTCAAATCCCGGTGGCAAGGCAATTCTATAAGCAACTGGGCCGAGTCTCTCCAAAATCTGGAACGGCCCAATGTAAGGGGCGACAACTTGCCCTTTTTCCCAAATCTGACTTGACCTTTCATCGAAGAAACACGGACGAACACATGGTCACCAACCTCATACTCAAGAGGTCTTCTCCGAATGTCTGCATAATTCTTTTGTCGGTCCTGAGCTATTTTGAGCCTTTGATGAATGGTCTTGATTTTCTCAGAAGTGTCTTATACAATTTCTGGCCCAAGCAAAGCTCTATCCCCGACCTCTGTCCAACAGATAGGTGATCTACACCTCCTACCATACAAAGCCTCGTATGGTGCCATACCGATGCTGGAGTGGAAGCTGTTATTATAAGCAAATTCTGTAAGTGGCAAATAATCTTCCCAACTCCCCTGAAAATCCAAAGCACACATGCGAAGCATATCTTCTAATGTCTGTATCGTTCGTTCTAACTGCCCATCTGTCTGTGGGTGGAATGCAGTACTAAACCTTAGTTCTGTTCCCATAGCTTCCTGCAAACTCTTCTACAATCTAGATACAAATTTCGGATCTCTATCTGATACAATAGCTACTGGAACTCTGTGTAAACGGACAATCTCATCAACATAAATGGTAGCCAATCTATAAGCAGTAAATGTAATTTTGACAGGCAGAAAATGTGCAGACTTAGTGAGTCTATAACGTAGTTTTGACAGGAAAAAAATGTGCAGATTTAGTCAGTCTATAAACTACAACCCAAACAGAATCCATACCTCCAGAAGTCCGAGGTAGGCCAACAACGAAATCCATAGTCACATGCTCCCACTTCCATTCAAGAATAGGGAGAGCTTGAAGTAGACCGCCTGGTTTCTGATGTTCCGCCTTAACCTGCTGACACTGAAGGCATTTGGAAACGTATTCTGCAATCTCTTTCTTCATTTTAGGCCACCAATAAGTTTGTTTCAAATCCCGATACATTTTATTGTTGCCCGGATGCATAGCAAATACGGACCTGTGGGCTTCATCTAAAATCCTCTTCTTTAGTTCCGGAATATCTGGGACACACATTCGGCTTCGAAATTTCAACATTTCATTCTCAATACTGAATTCTGCTTTCGGGCTTGCCTCAAATTCGTCAATCACTTTCTTGAGGAACTCATCCTCTTTCTGTTTCTGTTTGATTTCATCAATGATTGTCGGCTCGGCTGTAATAGCGGCTATCAATCCTCCCTGTTCACACATTACCACTTCAATTTCAAACTTCTCAAAATCTTACAAGATCTCTTTCTGTTCGGTAAGCAACCAAGCCATACTCCCCGTTGATTTTCTGCTTAATGCATCAGCTACTGTGTTGGCTTTCCTGGGGTGATACTGAATCTCCAGATCGTCGTCTTTTATTAGTTCCAGCCATCTTCTCTGACGCATATTCAACTCTTTCTGCGTGAAGAAGTATTTCAGGCTCTTATGATCTGTGTAAACTTCACATTTCGCTCCATACAGATAATGCCGCCAAATTTTCAAGGCAAAAACAACTGCGGCCAGTTCTAGGTCGTGCGTTGGATAGTTCTTCTCGTGTGGCCTCAACTGTCGGGAGGCGTAAGCAATAACCTTTCCGTTCTGCATTAACACACAACCCAAACCCTTATAAGATGCATCACTAAAGATTACGAAATTTTTCGTACCTAAAGGTAGTGTTAAAATTGGTGCAGTAGTCAATCTTGTCCTCAATTCATGAAAGGCTGATTCTCTTTCTTCGTTCCACTCAAAAGGTTGCCCCTTACGTGTCAGTTGGGTAAGAGGCACTACTAATTTTGAAAAGTCCTTCGCAAACCTCCTGTAGTACCCTGCCAAGCCCATGAAGCTACGAACTTCTGTTACATTGGTCGGTGTAGGCCAATTCACAATTGCCTCTATCTTCTGCGGGTCCACTGAAATTCCTTCCTTGTTAATCACGTGCCCTAAGAAAACAACCTCATCCAACCAAAACTCACATTTCTTTAATTTAGCAAATAGTTTTCTTTCCTGAAGTATTTGTAAAACAGTCCTCAAATGATGTTCATGTTCAAGTCTATCTTTAGAGTATATCAAAATATCATCGATGAAGACTACAACAAACTCATCAAGGTAGGTTTTAAAAATTCTATTCATTAAATCCATAAATGCTGCCGGAGCATTGGTCACTCCAAATGGCATAACAAGAAACTCAAAATGACCATACCTCGTTCTGAATGCGGTTTTCTCAACATCCTCTGCCTTAACTTTCAGCTGATGGTACCCGGATCTCAGATCAATCTTAGAAAACACCCGTGATCCCTGTAATTGGTCAAATAAATCGTCAATACGGGGTAAGGGATATTTGTTCTTTATCGTTACCTTGTTCAACTCCCGGTAATCAATACACAGGCGCAAGGTACCATCCTTCTTCTTTACAAATAACACTGGTGCACCCCAAGGCGAAGTGCTAGGCTGGATAAACCCTTTATCAAGTAGGTCTTGCAATTGTTCCTTTAATTCTTTCATTTCGGCAGTAGCCATTCTGTAGGGAGTTTTAGAAATAGGCTGGGTGCCTGGCACAGTCTCAATAGTAAACTCTATCTCCCTGTTTACCAATTCCCCCGGTAATTCATTTGGGAACACATCTGGGAATTCTCTAACAATAGGAATATCATTCAATTCAACATTCACAGATTGCTCAGTCAACACATAGCACAGATAACCCTGGCACCCCTTCCTGATTAATTTACATGCTTTCATTGCAGATATTAAATAAGGTGGAGGCACTACCCCATTACCCACAAACACAATTTCTTTATGTTCTGGTAGTTTAAATACAACCCTTTTTGTCACACAATCTATGGTGGCACAATACTAGGTCAACCAATCCATGCCCAAAATCACATCAAAATGTCTAAAGTTCAAGGGCAATAAATCTACATATAAGGTAGCATCCTCAATATGCATGTCACAAAACCGATATATATAGTCACATAACACAGATTCCCCCGATGGAGCAGACACACATAACAAATATGGCAATAACTCTAGGGGTCTATTCAGTCTAGATGCAAATGTATATGTCACAAATGAGTGCGTTGATCCAGAATCAATTAATACAAAGGCATCCTAATTACATATTGAAATAGTACCTGAGACAACGGCATTGGCATTCCATGTATCGCCCGGAACAAGTACAAAGACTCTCCCCTGTCTCACTGTATCCCCAGCAGTAGCAGATTTCAAAGTATTTCCTGGCTTTGGAACTGATGCAGTTGAACTAGCTGCGAGTTTCCCACTGTTCTGATTACATTCTCGGGCTATGTGCCCTTGCTTTCCATATTTGAAACAGGCTCCTGATGCACGGTAACAGACTCCACAGTGCCTTTTGCTACAAATGTTGCACATGGGAGCTGTGTCCCGGGAAGAACTTGAAGTAGTTGAGGAGCCCGTGTTTTGCTTTTTCAGAAATTTCTTCTTCGGAAAGAAGCCCTGTCTTTTGTTGCCCTTTCATTCTATTGTTGGCTTAGCTTGTCTAGCTATGTTGGCCTCTGATATGATGGCCCTGTCCAGTACCCCAATGTAGGTCTCCAACTTCAAGACATTCACTCTCTCTAGGATGTCACTTCGGAGCCCACCTTCAAAATGTCTTGCCTTCTTATAGTCAGTGTCAATTACATGCGGTGCAAACCTGGCCAATTCAGTGAATTTGGCCTCATACTCAGCTACAGTCATGCTGTCTTGCTTGAGTTCCATGAACTCTGCCACTTTCCTATCCCGGACACACTGCGGGAAGTACTTGTCATAGAAGATTTCTAGAAACTTTACCCAATCAACATCCTTATGATTTTCTCGCATCAACATCCACCATCTTCTTGCTTCGTCTTCTAGCATAAAGGTGGCTAGAAGCACTTTCTGTGTATCCGAGCACGGAAACACTTCAAACATTTTTTCGATCCCAAGAACCCAAGCCTCAGCTTTCAAAGGATCTAATCCGCCATGGAACTGTGGTGGTTTCATTTTCTTGAATTCCTTGGTGAGAACTATTATCCGGTCGTCATTTTGATTATCTGGCACGGGTGGTACCGGAGGTGGAGGTGGCGGGTGTGGTTGCTACCACTGTTGTTACCACTCCTGTTGCTGTCTCAAAGCTTCTGCCATTTCTTGGATCAGTCTTTCCATTCTGTCCAGTCTGGCAGTAGAAGATTCCTCTAACTCATCACCTCTGGTTCTCACCATCTGATTAAACTTGCATTATATTTCATACAAAAGGTACACAAGTACGCATACACTAAGGAGCACATATTTCCAGATAATTCGTAATGCAAGTAGTTCACAACTTACACATATAATTATTCATGGATTGGTTGACCAAATATTGTGCCACCATTGATTGTGTAACAAAACGGGTTGTGTTTAAACCACCAGAACATAAGGAAATTGTGTTTGTGGGTAATGGGGTTATCACGACCCGAACCCACCCCTATGGGTTAAGGACGTAACCGGCCAGTAATCCTGAGATTACCTGCGGCCTCAAACCAAAATAGACATAACTCAACAGAGTAAAGGGGCCAAACGGAAGCAATAATCAAAAACTTTGTCCATAGAGCCATGCTTATATGCACTACAAAACAAACCATACTCATATACGCTAATAACCCACGTCAAAAGTACAGACCATAAAATTCTTTACAGACAAGATCATCCAACCACGTCAACCCGTGACAGACTATTTACAAATATACATAAAGTCCTTGCCAGCAAGACAAATATAGTTACATAACAAAATGGCAACGATAGGTCTCGTGCGTGAGACACAAGGCTGACTTTCTCAAAACTCATGTTGTTCCTGGCAGACTTTACTGGGGCTGGGTTTGGACTTCCCTCGGCTCACCTACAAACACATGAATGAGCATGAGCGATAGCCCAGTGAATAATATCAAATACAGAAGTCATATAAACAATATGTAAGACAACATACTCCGAACGGCCTTGGGCCCAATTCATGTTCCTACTTATCATATGTACATTTATGCAAGGTTTAGATCGAGTGACTGTAGTTCCAAATATACTGGCCTTTGGCCCATTCATTTATGTCAAAACGGCCCTCGGCCCATATATTTGTGGCAAAACGGCCTTCGGCCCACTCATTCGTGTCAAAACAGCCTTCGGCCCACTCATTCGTGTCAAAACGGCCTTCGGCCCACTCATTCGTGTCCAAACGACCTTCGGTCCATCCATATATGTCAAAATGGCCTTCGGCGCATTCATTTACATCAAAACGACCTTTGGTCCAGTCATTTCTATCAAAACGACCTCTGGTCCATTCATTTCTATCAAAATGACCTTAGGTCCAATTATTTCCATGTCAGATTCTTGTCCACAATCCCAATTAGCAAATCATAAAGCTTATAAGGGAATAAACAATTAGATATTCACAATTATTCGAATATCGATATTACTCACAGTGATCGGCTTGTGGATTCGCCCTGGAGCTTGACCCTACCCATTCCATGAACACAAAAGGGTCATTATCAATTCAACCCGTTCTTTAATTTACATATTCCTCTTTAAGCTTTATTCTTATCTCATTAACTCATTTACAATGCTTAGCATATGCCTAAGAGTGCTTACAAGTGAAAGAGAACGGAAAACAAAACACAGAACGAGCATACAAAATTTCAGAGAACAGGGTCCCCGCTCGAGCGTCAACTCATCCGCTCTAGCGGACCCTTAAGGCCTGCAAAAGTACTGGTTGCATGAAACATACGCTCGAGCGTGGGATAGAGCGCTCGAGCGGAAGGCCTGTCTATAAAAGCTCCCCGCTCGAGCGTGAGATATCCCGCTCGAGCGGACATCCAACTCTGCAAAAAGTGCTGGGAGCACGATTTTCCCGCTCGAGCGGCTCTTCCCCCGCTCGAGCGGACATCAAAAATCTGGGTTTTCCAGATTGAGTTCTTCAGCTCCAAATCGAATTCCCAGCTACATTACTTGCATGCAATGGCCCAAATCTCAAATATAATCATACTAACATGGCACCAATGCAAGATTATAACATCATGAGGCTCCATTTCTTTATTTATCTATATGCATGTCCCAAAATATGTCATACTCAACACCAACATAACAAACTCATGCATTCAAGCTCATATCTTCTCAAGTTGTGCATGCATGTGATGAATTAGCCACATTCTCAACTTAGATGCACAATTGGTGATCAAAACATGAGTTTCAACTACAATTTACATGGATCATACCCCTTTGAGTTCAAAACATGCAATATTCAAGACAATCACACACATGCATGCATATATGGGTCTCCATTATGACAAATTCAACTCAATTTCCTTATGATCAGACAATTCCATGCTCTAGACCCTCTTTCAACCTTGAATTCACAAAATGATAGTTAAAAATTTACATGAACTACTCACCAAGGAGTTTAATCTTCACAATCTATGGCAATTCTTGTGTTATCTTCAAGGCATTCAAGGATCAAGAGCAAAACTTAGATTTTTCTCCCCTCTCTCTCTCTCTGATAGCCGACCCTTCTCTTTTCCTCTTAGAGTTGATCAGCCAAATCAATGTAAAGGGGAAGGAATTGGTTCTAATAAGGCTTATAATAGCCCCACTCACATTTTATCTCAACATGAAATAGTTGGGTACTTTATTCATCAATTTAATTAGTTTAAATTGACCAGAATAAATTTTCAATTAAATTTCACCGTAGGCTCTAAAATTCATGCCAATCACAATGGCGTAATCAATTTCAGGTTCTGTGGTTCTGTGGCCGATAAGGCCCTCAATTTAATTTTCAAAACAGATTATTCAGACAGGTATTCCTACGGTGAACAGATAAGACTTCAAAATCACAAACATTCACATAATGGCACATAAAATCATGCTAAACACATAATCATATTCGAATTAAGGACCAATTAGCATATTGCGGGACAGGGGTATCACAGCATATTTCTTAAGAAACCTACCACCAAAGCTCAGGTGGACATCTCTTAAAATTTCAGTTTCTAGTAATAAAGAAAAGCATATATTCAATGAACATGTGGCAAGTCACGTGCCATCACACATTGTGGAAATACAATATGTTTGCTTCTTAAACATTTTGGAAACAATTTTCTCAATGTTTCCATGACAGTAATGGAAGTCCAAAAATGTACTAGACAGTTAATTATCTTTTATAGATTATGAAGAACTGAACTTGCTGCATAATCTGTGGGAGTTTAGAGAAGAGGGTCTTTTTTCCATGGTCATCAAGAATCCTCTCCAAAGTAATGTCTTGAAGTGCTACCAGAGTTGTCTCAAGAAGATCAAGTCTTGCTTGATTTGCAAATGTAAAAACTAGCAATGCCTGCATTAACCATTTTTAAGGTTAGAATGGCCTATTCACAAGCATACTTAACGCTACTTGTATACTCCTAGAAACTAGTACACTCCTTAGATTCGTGCCCCAATTTAAAATTGAAACTTCATGGGAAAATGCTTCTAAGTTCTAAGACTCTCCTGACTAATAACCAATATAGCGAATATCTTAACAAGAGTGATGTCCGAATTTCTTGATAATATGACTCACACACCCCAGATGTGTCTAATGGACTTCACTAAAGAAAGATATGACATGCATTATCAACAAAACTGAAGTATGAGAAAATTTCTAGTATAAAAAAAGGGCACAGTAATAGAGAATTAACAACAATAGACATGGTAATATGGTTCATATACATGACATGATGGTGCTTCTTCCATATTTTGCAATTGCAAATACAAAAATCCAGATAATTAACTTTATTTTCATCTTTTCTTTTGTAATGCACATAAACAAGACACATAAATTTAAATACAATGCCATGCATGTGTCCTACTTCAAAATGTGTTTGGTCAATGTGTTTATGTTGTGATGTGTCCTTTCCGTATCTATGTTACAAGGCACATAGGAACAAGTTCAAAGAAAATTGAAAAATAACCAAAGATTAAATTACTTTGGAGAGGCAACATTTTACACATATCAATCAAACAATAGCATATTTAAAAGAAATGTGTACAAAACCAAGTTTAAAAAGAAAATGATAAGGTGGAAGAAAGTAACAATAATCATAGTTTCAAATGGAACATGGAATTCAGTCTAGATGTATTATGATTTAACATTAGATTTATAATATTCAAAAGAAGATACTTATGTAGATGGCACACACACACACACAAATGTGAGATATTTATGAAATTTAAATAGTAGAAGGATGGCAAAGAGAAAGTTCTTAAGCTGTAGTTGTGTCTCAACTAAAATTTTCCCCTCATGTAGTGAAATTACTTGTGACCCTGTGGTCCAAACACCCTAATCCTCGTAATTTTATCTATCCAAATCAAACAAGATCTTAAGTCAGATGCATATACTTTGAGCTTACTCTTCCAAGTAGAAATCCTTCATGAAGAAGGGAATATGATTCAATTGAAATAAGATAAATTGTTAGTGGCCACTACTTGCATATTATAGCTTTGTTGTTGACTTCAAATGGAATTGAAAAAACAAGAGTAATCAACCCAAATGCATAGCAGTGTATCAATTGTCTAAGCCAATGTGTTTTCAAAGTGACAAAAACAGGCAAGGTTCTAAATAACACAGAACATATTGTTGTACATGTTTACATTGTTCCCATCCTCGATATTCACAATCACACAATTCAGCAGGTAAAGAAAGAATTACGTTTTAACTGGTTGATAGATAAATAAATGTTACACAGGAAGGATTATTTCTAAAAAATCATAAATGAAGAACATTCAGACTTCTGCAAATACAGAGAACATAAATTTGTTATAAAAATGAGAAGTTAAACAATCGAAATAATACCTTCAAAGAGCAACACGTCATAGCAACTGAGTGATGCCAAAGTGTCTTGAGAATCGATTCACGTCCTTCATTAACAAACCTAAAAAGCACCTATCAAAGAAGCAATCAATGAACCTAGAATGTAAGAATTTTGTTAACTGGTGTCCTTAACTATCATGTACACTAACACCTGTCATGTACATCGAATGTCCAAAGTGCTTCTATAACTTAAGTATCAGAAGATATGTTGCTAGTAAGTCCAGTTCACTCACAAATAATAAGTTGCATCAGAGGTGGTCAAATGTACTAAAGCAGTGTTGTCCAAGCTTCTAAGAAAAACTATGGAGATTTGATAAGGATGGTCTAAACAGTCCTATATTATTTTAATGTTACCTTAACAACATATTTTCTTAACCACAGATTACCAATTCAAATTAAAACATACTGGAATATTTTTCTAAAGAAAATTATCATTGCTTCCACATAAAAACTAAACCAACCTCTTCACGTATACATGTATATATCCATTATAGAAGTACCAAAAAATAATCAATAAACTCCAAAGAAATGAACTTTATGAACAAAAAATAGATTTGATCTAATCTTTCCTTATTGAATCTAGCATGACTCAACTTAATTACGAAAGTCAAACTAAAATTCTCATCACCATAAAATAGCTTCCATGCATGATTTTATAAAGGACTGAATATCAATTTCCTTATGGTAAATTTCACTATTCTGGCCAGCATGCAGAATGTCAATTGTAAGCAATGTTTCTCACCTCACACTCATAGGAAAATGCATTCAAATATGAATTACAATTATGACATGGACTCCAACATGTTGCACTCAAGTAAGAACCATTTCTAAGTTGCAAAATAAATGATCTGAAAACACACCTGTAGCTGAGACAGATCCAACGAGCAAGAGTGGGTGCTTCTGGAGGGACTGGGGGTGGCCGCAAACTAACATCAGAAATAAAACGAGAAGGATAGAGCGCTATGGGAGCCAGAAAAAAATATATATCAACTTATTGGGCTAATCCAAACAAGGCCGGTCAAGGGCCCAACTATTGGGCTTATTCGGCCCACCCCCGTCTATAAAAAGAAAGGCACCTCAAGGCATATGGTATGATCTTTTTCTGCTCCACACAACACAAAAACACACTTTACTATTCTTGATTCTTCATTCATGGATTCTAACTTCATCATCGGAGTGTCCCCAGCTGGTAACCCCAGTTGGGTGGCATCAACCAGATTTATCTCTTGCAGGTTCATGGAGCTGTCTTCGTTGAATCTCACCAACAATATCCATGTGAGAGGATATTTCATGATCTCACAATTGGCGCCGTCTGTGGAAACAACTGAATGAGATCAACGAAGAACACAACAAACATGTTCTTGTAAGTACAAATTTAACAACAAATTTGATTTATTTGCCCTCTGAAAACTATTTTAAGATTGGTTCTTGGATTGGATATGCATATGTTTATGCTTACAAAATAGAGCTTTTTGTTCACTGTGAATCTTTTGTATCTCCTTTTTCTATCTCTACAAATGGGTTTCACTTTTCTTGAAGAGAGCATCTTTTCGGCATATTAAAGCTGAGTGATGAAATTTTCTTGTTGAATCTGTTAAAGCTGTTAATCGGCACTTTACCAACTTATGCAAGTGCACTTCACACTGTTCATATTGATTGGTGAAATTTCATCTTTTCTTGGAATATACATACATATATATCTATACTAACAATTTCTATGGACTCCAAACTTGGGTCTTTACTTTCTCTCTCTAAAAATTAGGAACTAACTTTTATCACCTACCTTTCCATCGGCATATTAAAGCTGAGTGATGAAATTTTCTTGTTGAATCTGTTAAAGCCGTTAATCGGCACTTTACCAACTTATGCAAGTGCACTTCACACTATTCATATTGATTGGTGAAATTTCATCTTTTCTTGGAATATACATAGATATATATCTATACTAACAATTTCTATGGACTCCAAACTTGGGTCTTTACTTTCTCTCTCTAAAAATTGGGAACTAACTTTTATCACCTACCTTTCCACGGAGCACTCTAGTGGTACAATCAATTCAGCTATTAAAATAAACTTTATATATATAATGATATTAGAAGTTTGCCAAAAACATTGTTTCCCTTATAACCCTTACCTTTCTGCCGAGACCATGCTTATGAATTTTATATATATCAATTTGTAGAGAACACTATTGGGAATTATATATATAAATTGCTTAGTCAACATTATTCAAAAATTGCTTAGTCAACGCATTATATATATATATCAATTCGGCAACTTTATCCAGTTAGTCAACATTATTAAAAAATTCCTATTTCCTACATCACATCACTCGGCCAAGCATAAGTTCTTCGGCCACCACCTTGTTAAATTCGAGGAGCCGTTTAACCATTCCTTCACCGAGTTCCAATCCGATCAAGAGTTATTACATTGGCACTTCTCGACCACTTAAGCAGTTTGGGAACCTGCCTTACTCGGCGTTGCCATTGGCCTATCAACTCCTGTTCCTCTGCCTCCACAATTCGGTGATGCCACTCCAATTAAATCATTCGGCAATAGCAAATAGCCGACCGACCGCGTTGCCAAAATAAAGTCGAAGACCAAATAGTATAAGGAAATATTTTCGGCACAATCAAAGATGAATTACTAAGCCAGCTTTCGGCAACCGAAACGTACTAGCCTAGCTCGGCACAGCCAACACACACTATTCGGCAACCACCAACGAACCAACTTACATCCACCGGCCCAATGAACAAGTCGGCAACTTATCAGCTTATTTGGCAACTTTTATTTTCATTCACTTTGCATAGTATCACTCATCGACATATTATCAACAAAGTTTCGATGACTTAATTGTTTTATTTGCATTACCTCTGCATGTTATCAACTTGCTCGGCTTGTTCGGCAACTTACTCGGCATATTATCAGGAGCAAATTAATATCAACTTTGCATTTTATCATGGACAATTTGTTTGGCTCTACACTCTCGGCATAAAACTAGCACCGCGACTTACTGAAATCCACATCTAACAATACCAGAAGATTCACGTCGACTCAGGGAGTCCAAAGCCACTAACTAGAGGAGCAAAAAAGTAGCTGATGCTTGCCGATAGTTGCGCAACAGCCCATATTTTCAAAACCTGCAATTTTCAACATTGTCGAAATTAAGTTTTGATTACACCAATGTAAAGTACTCATCGAGACGAGTCCAACACAAAAAATTGCATCAAAATCGGAACTAAAATGAAGTCGTATGAGCCAATTGAAATTTGCCCAGAAATCACATATATTGCCGAAAAAGACGACCCAGGAGTTGGCAAAACATAAGAAATTATTCGATGGATTGCATTTAAGTTACATCTTGTAATAAGCAAATAATTAAGCTCAAATATATAATGCACAAAATATGGACACAAGGCATGTCATGGCAGAGTGGTTAGGTGTTAATCTTTTACCACAAGAGCGCAGGTTCAACTCTTTCTAGCCACACTAATTTTCTTTTATTTTTTGCAATATAAGAGCAATTTTCTAGTGGATCGCACAGCACCAATCTCCATCGATCTGAGTTGTAGGAATCATTTTGGCTACAACTACGCCATCAAGAGTCCGATTACAATGATCCAATAGTCCTTTCCAGCTATTTGACGCATTCTGGATCCATCCATAAGGTCAGAATTTGCAAACTCAACTATAAAAAAATAAAAATAAAAATAAAAAATAAATAAATAAATTACAGATTTTATTCAAAAATTGAGCGCCATGGCTCACTTCGTATATCACCAAGCACCCTACTTTGTCTCGGCTTCATTCCGATATCGCTACGGCACCAGACAGGGGCACGGAATCCGTTTCAAATTGTTATTGGCCTACTCGGCAATTTTGGCCCAAGTTAATTTTATTCCTTCCGAATAACAAATCTTATTCAAAAGCAATGGGGCAAATATACGTTGGACAAGAAACTCAACTTCAATAAATTGGCAACCATGGCCAACCAAGTTCTTAGCAAATCCAACTCTGAAGGGATGCCGACACACCGCGAAGCTAAGAAAAATTGCCGACCAAAAGATCAGCACAATCACCGACCCAAGTGTAGCCGACCAACTTTTTGGCAAAATCACATTATATATGAAACGGACACCGATGTTTTGACACTAGTTAGTTGGCAGTGCATCAACTTTACTCGGCAAGATTATTCGGCACCACTATTAATTCAACATTATGTATGATCATTATTCGGTCGTGCATCAACTTTCTTCCGCTAAACAACATTATTGGTCAACTTTATGCATTGTCAAACTTTATGCAGCAACATTGGCCACAGTATTTGGCAACTTTATTTGCCTAACAACATTATTTGGCAAACCAATTGTCCACTGGGACATCAGTCAATTTTTCGCTTTCCAATTGGGGCACATCAGTCGATCATCATCTCGGCACCTTTGATATGCATGCATACTCGGCCAACTTGGTACAAACATTACAACATTTACTTGAGTTACACACTCTCGCTCCTTTTTCACACTACTCCAAGCAAGCGCCAGTTTTGGGGCAATAAATTACACACTTGGCAGTCAGCAATTCGCATTTAGTAGTCGGCAGTTTGCATATTTTTGTGCACCATCATTTTACCAAAGCCGAATCTTCCCTGCAACATAGGGCAACAGGAATCTGCATTCCTTCCGACTAACACCTGTCATTCGAAAGCAATGGAGCAAGTCTGCCTTGGACTAAACGCAAACGGAGCAACTCGGCAATTAAATTGTCGGCCCAATATCTACTTGGCAATTCCATATAAGCGGAGCAATATTATTGGTGATTAAAACGTCCACCTTATTCGGTACATGATGCATTATTCAAAGTCCTTGCCATATTGGCACTCGGTCGCCACTTAAAATCAATAAAAGTCTCCGAGTACAATGTAATCTTCGCACTCGGCATGGAGCACCATCAGCAAAGGCCTATACCCATGCCCGAGGGTTAGAATACCGCAGCCTATACCTATGCCCGGAGGTTAGAATACTGCGGCCTATACCTACGCCCGGAGGTTAGAATACCGCGGCCT